ATCTGGAAGCTGGACAACAAATAAGGAAGACCTGCGGATAAAAAATGGGCGCATTTGAGTTGTTGTGTTTGTGAAAATTATTGCCGGCAGCAAGCAAATCTGCCTTGAAGGAAGAATAGTCAGAATGCTCCTTAGAAGCCAGTATGATGTGACTTAGTCTTATATATTTTGGATGTGTTACCAAGAGAGAATAAACCAAAACCAAACTCCCTGCCATCTAGTCAGTTCTAATTTACAGGTACCCTCCTGAACTGCCCTGGTGGGTTTCTATGTTCCTAAATCTTTATGGTGGCAGAAAGCCTCATCCTTTTCCCAAGGAGCTGCAGTTGGCTTCAAAGTCCTCACCTGGTGAAGCAGCCCAACGTGTAGTGCACTACGCTACCAGGGCTGCATGGACGATCAGCAAAAATGAAGAAGACCATTAAGAAGATCGACAGACTCTATATCTTTTGATAGCTGGGCACCAACAGCTTTCTTCAATACATTTGCTTATGCACCCACTTTGTCTTCAGCGATCGCGTTGGGATAGGCTGGTGTGCGTCTTCCATGTGGGCTTTGTTGCTTCCCAGCTAGTTGGCCACCTGTTTATCTTCAAACCTTTAAGACCCCCAGATGCTGTATCGCTTGATAGCCGGGCACCATCAGCTTTCTTCACCACATTTGCTTATGCACCTGCTTTGTCTTCAGCAATCGTGTTGGGATAGGCTGGTGTGCTTCTTCCATGTGGGTTTTGTTGTTTTTCAGCTAGATGATTGCTTGTTTACCCTCAAGCCTTTAAGAGCCCAAACGCTGTATCTTTTGATAGCCGGGCACCTTCAGCTTTCTTCACCACACTTGCCTATGCACCTGCTTTGTCTTTAGCGATCGTGTCGGGACAGGCTGGTGTGCTTCTTCCATGTGGGTTTTGTTGTTTCTCAGCTAGATGGCCGCTTGTTTATCTTCAGGCCTTTAAGACCCCAGATGCTATATCTTTTGACAGCTGGGCACCATCAGCTTTCTTCACCACATTTTCTTATGCACCCATTTGTATTCAGCGATCATGTCAGGAAGGTGAGCATCTCAGACTGCGGAATTGTTAGAACGAAGTGTTCTTGTGTTGAGGGAGTACTTGAGTAGGAACTCACTGTCCATCTGTTTCCTTAATACTATGGATTGTGATAAGGGTTGTATGAGCCCCCAATAAAATGACTAAAAAAAATGAAGATTGACATAGTGGCTGTAACAATGGGCTCACATATAACAACAATTGTGAAGATGGTGCATTACTGGGCAATGTTTCTTTCTGTTGCACATATGACTGTTAAGTATTGGAACTGACTCAATGCCTAGTAATTACAACAGCAACAGTAACTGAAGAAACCTTTGTGGTGCAGTTGGTAAAGCGCTGGGCTGCAACAGTAAGGTCTGCAGTTCAAAGGAACCAGCTGCTCTGTGGGAAAAATGTGAGGCTGCTGTTCTCTTAATAATTGCCAGTCTTAGAAAACTAAAAACAGTTTTATTCTGTCACATAGGTTCACTGTAAATGAGAAATGACTTCATGGCAGTTGATTTTTAATAGCAACCCACACAATTGTGTCATATTGAAAATGATATTATAAAAAATTCTAAAAGTGCAATATTATTTAAAGCGGACCAAATTAAAAGTATATTCCTTGTTTAATGTATATTTATAGAACTCTGAAGTTTCTAATCAAATAACTGAAAATCAGTTGATTAAAACAAAAGCATTAATGACAGTGTTTATTTTTGGCATGGCATATTGCAAACATTAAAAAATCTACTGGTTAAAATGTTGTAGAACAAAAGATAAAGACTTCTTAAGCCTTTAAAACTATGTCTTAATAATGATAGTGTTGGTCTAAAATCAGAAAATAAGAATTAAGCATACTGGTCAATGTTTGCCATGGCCAGGATTATTCTTGGAAATTAAGCCCTTGTAATGTAATTACTTGGAAAATGTATCCTGTGGTCCTTTCCTCTCTGTGGTTGGAAAGTTAATTATCCATTGATTTGCTAGCTATAATGAAACCCATATGTTTCTGTAGGGTCTATTTTAACGCAGTGTTCAGGGGTTGCTTCTCAGTATTTAGGGAAACTGCTTGGCAAGGTCCCTGGCTTTGAGTTGAGAAATTTCCTAGAGTGGCTCTTCCTGGATCCATTCTTTGTTTCATTTGTTACCTTTCCTCTCTCTGCTTTATTGGAAAACATTCTGTCCCTATGATCCTTTATACATTTCAACTGTAATCTGAAAGATGACTCTAAACTTCCCACTGTTTTGTCTTCTTCAACACTACAAAATTTCTGTATTTCTGTGTTCAAAGGGTGTCCAGTGTCCTAACCTCTGTGATATGTATTGTGCAAGAAGAAATTTAGCTATTAGTCAATTCAGTTCACCACTCAACCCTTTTTATTGTGCGTTGGAACAATAGGGAAAGACAAGCAGGAGAAACAGATTCAGGAGAAAATGAGCTTTCTGCTCTTTGTTCTTGGGCTTTTAATTTTCTTTCCCCTTTCTCACAAATCTGAAACATTTTAAGCCCCGTGTTCTTCACATTATTTTCCTCTTTACTGTTGGTTATTTTCACTTTTGAGTTTCCTTTCTGCCTATTAAGAACATGACAAAGGAGGATGGTGAAGAAGAGCTGTTTAAAGTAGTTCGTTTAATTTCAAATATCTCCCTTTCACTTTATGACCAGCCAGGGAGCAGGTGGATGACCTCTTCCCACCTTCTTTCTTCTCAGCCCTGCTCCGTTACTCCCCAGCCACAGACACGTCATTTTTGTTGCCCTAACAAGAGTGTTTGGTCTTTTTGGTTTTGAACCAAAGACACTCACCCACAGAGTCCCAGAGCTCTGCCAGGCTTCCCTGAATGTCGTTGTGATGCTGCTGGTGCTTGCTACAGACAGGATGCACTTCACTGCCGTACTAACACTGTGTTTTCTTCAGTGCACTGCGCTCGTGAGGGCAAGTGTAGTTTTTCATGTTGACATTTGAACTACAATGTGGACGTCATACATGACATTAAACCAAATCGTTGTGCTCTCTGGTCAATGCTGATTCCTGGCGATCCCACCCGCATAGAACTATTCCCCAGAGGATTGTCCAGGGTCAATTTTTCAGCAGTATGGCATCAGTCCTTTTGCTGAGGAGCCTCTGGACGGATTCAAATTTCCAAATTTTTAGAACAGTGAAAAAGATTTTGACTTTTCACAGTGGCTGAAATTGTCTAAAATAGTGGGTGAAGTATTTATTTCAGTTCTCCTTTGACACACATGGGTCACCACGAGTCAGAATAAGCCAGAGACCATTCAATGACATCTTTCTGATTTAACCCTATGGCGGCCATTTGCTGTTGTATTCTTTATCTGCATCTGTCTTTCTTCACTCTCCATTTTTCCTTCTATTCACGGCCTTCTTTCTGGGCCCTGAATCTCAGTCCTTCTTCACCTCGAGGCAGGTCCTTCTTATGTAATCCTTTTCATCACCAGCATTGTAGTTTGTTCATTCAAGTCTTCTCATCCTCCTTCCCTCTCTTTCATGTTAGTAACTTTTCAAGTGGTCTGGTGGTTTGTGACTGCATTCCCGTGATTCGAGTCTTGTGGTCTGTTATGTCCAACGGGCTATTCACTTATGGAAAAAAAAATTGTGGGTTTTCAGGAATAAGTAGAGTAAAATGAATGTCATCAACTCTCTGAATTTTATTAATTTATGCTGATGTAATAACACTTAGAAATGTTTTCATATACATTATTTGATTTATTTTTTACAGTAATTATCAGGGTAAGTGGTTTTATTTTTTGATGTTCTCAATTTACACACATTCATTTAAAATAAGTGGAATATAAAACCACAGTCAATGGTCAGTTTTATTTTTCTTTCTTTGCATAGCTGGAATTATATATGCAGTACTTTTTGTATTTTTGTATTTTTTTCCATAAGAATTTTTTGTGTTTTACATAGGTTTTTATATTCGTTGTTTTTAATAATTGGTACAATATTTTATAGAATAGATGTGCCATGGTTTAAACTCTTCCCTATAGGGATATTCATGAGTTTTCTCTATTTTAAATAACCCTAAAATGCACACCTTTGGGCAAAGAAGGGCTTTTTCAATATTAAGAACATTCCTTTGAATAAATTCCTAGAAGCATAATTCTTTTTTTAAGATTCATGACTTAAATTTTCAGGTTACTCACTACCATAAACATAGTATTAAAAGACCTCTTCTTCATAACACTCTCAAAACCAGTTTAGGATCATATTATTTTCACTAATTATATAAATATAATTTCCAAGGGAAGAAGCATCATATATGTGGCAAGACTAAGGTTATGTCTCTAATACAATTAACTATAAATTCAGTCTATGATATAATAATATATTACCTCCTAATCTTCCCTATTCCTGTCATCTCATCTCCTATACCCAGGGATTTATCCCTATCAAATCAGCCTAAAATTTTCTCCACACAAAATACTTTTTGTTTCTTAGATTTTTTTTGTTGCTGACATTCTTATGTCTTCTTTCCTTCTTATCTAATTTTTACTTATCTTGAAAGACCAATCTTAGTTTTACCTCCTTGGCCTCTTCATTCATATTATCTCTTAACCTCCCTTTCATTGATTTCCCCCAAAAGTTAAGATCTGGATAAATTACTATAGCATTAGCCATGCTACTATTATACTACTTTGCTGCCTCTTATTAAGCTTATTAAAGTGTTAAAGAACAGATGATGATTCTTGTATAAATTATGTATCCCTTACAGAATTTTGCAAAGAACTTTTGAAAAATTGTGGCATGGTAAATTCTTATTTAGTGAATGAATATGGTATGGAAAAATGCACAGAATTTGTGGTTGACAGGCATGAAAATATACCACTGTGAGAATATGGATACGATCTACAGATGGACAGAGCAGAGATAGCTGGAAACAGCATCTTTCCATTATAACATAGCATATATTGCTTTTCTTAGATCTGGGTATTTTTCATTTCCTGCAGGAGCATCTGCTTCTCCACTAAAGATACTCTGCACCCCAGAAGGAATAAGACTTCAGTGTTGCATGAAATATTTTACAGAAGAAATGAAAGTGAATTGGTATCACAAGTAAGTAAAACATGAGTAGGTGGTGGCCATGCCATATACAAGGACAGTGCATAAGGCTGGTGGCTGGGGAGACCATGCTTCACAGCTAAAGCATATGGCCCTGACCATCCTCTCAAAAAGCCATGATTTCAAGAAATATTTACTGCCTTTGGCTCTGGTGTTGTTGGGTAACCAGGGCAGTGGAAATGCCACGGGGGGAGTGGAGGGCTGCTCCAGTTGGATACAAGCAT